TTTGCGGTACGTGGGCCTCTCACTGCTGTGGCCTCTCCCGTTGCGGAGCACAGGCTCCGGATGCGCAGCCCCAGCGGCCATGGCTCACGGGCCCAGCCACTCCGCGGCACGTGGGATCCTCCCAGACCGGGGCACGAACCCGTGTCCGCTGCATCGGGAGGCGGACTCTCAACCACTGCACCACCAGGGAAGCCCAGATACAAGCTAATTTTGTGTGTGTGTGTGTGGTACGCGGGCCTCTCTAATTTTTAAAAACCACCTGATGGTCTATGAATTCCCACTGACCTTCCACTATGAAAAACGCCTCCACTTTTGCACACCCGAGAACACTGCATGCCTGGCAGGTGTACAGGCCTTCATCCTCCTTCCTCACCCTGCGGATAGTTAGGTTCCGGTTCCCATCTTTTAGCACGATGCCTGAGGAAGGGGGAAAATGATGGTTTTTATTTATGATGCGGTCTGGCAGAGTTTTTCAGGACAAAAATATTTTTAATATAAATGTTTCCCTTTATCTTGGGCTATTATCTAACTCTAAAAAGAGTCATACAGGGTCAACTGCTGTCTCAGTACCCCTGGCTTCCACGAGAATTCAGCAGGCTCTGAATACTCGGGTTCCGAGTCTATGAGATGAGCCAGGCCATGGGCCGTAATATTGCTTTCTGTTCTACCTAAAACGAATCAAGAAACCATATGGATTTTATACTGTATGACACTTCTATGTGGAATCTAAAAAATAAAACAAACTAGTGAATATAACAAAAAAGAAACACAGACTCACAGATATAGAGAATAAACTAGTGGTGACCAGTGGGGAGAGGGGACAGGGGAGAGGGGACAGGGGAGAGGGAGGCAAGATAGGGGTAGGGGATTAAGAGGTAAAAACTACTATGTATCAAATAAATAAGCTACAAGGATATATTGTACAGCACAGGGGATACAGTCAATATTTTATAACTATAAATGGAGAATAATCTTTAAAAATTGAGACTCACTATGCTGTCCACCTGCACCTTAAATAATATTGTACATCGATATACCTTAATAAAAATAAATAAATAAATGAGTAAATAAATACTTTTTTTAAGAAATAAATAATATGGGTTTTAGTTAATATCTCTAGGAAGATTTTGCAGCCAAAAAGAGACCCACGTGCTCTATTCACCTGAATCTTCCACAAGCGTCTCATTATCTTTAAACCACGTAATCTGTGGAGGGGGATTCCCAGATGCTGTGCAGGAAACTTCGATGGTTTCACCAATACTTGTTGTCTGGTTCTCCAGGTTTCCTGTGATCGTGGGTGCCATGCGCTCTATGCACACGCACAAAAAAAAAAAAAATCATAGGACATTTAGTTATAAGTTTTGAAGTGGTTTTCATATCAGTAAACTATTAAACCATTTAGTAAACTGTTAACTTACTAAGCCAAAAATACACAGAGGTTGATAACTGGAGCATTGTTCATGGCGTAAAGTTAAATGAAACAAGTCAGTCAGTTCAAACAGATTACTGCATCTCTTTGAACATTCATATTAGTAATTCAAGCTGGTAATCACATCACAAAATAAAAGTTGTCACCCTTGACTTCCCTCCAAATAAATAAATAAATTCTAGCCAGTGACACACAAGAATTCTGCCATGTTTCTCTTGGAAAGTACATAACTTCAGTGTAATTCAACAAAGAATGCCTTATATTTATTTGGTACTTTTTACAAAACTCATTTGTCCTGTTTCTGTTTTTCACTATCAACCCTATGGTGGGCAGTAGTAGCCTCATTTTGCAGATGAAAGGGGTTAAACAACTTACCCCAGGCCTTATAACTAAGTAAACAGTTGAACACAGAATTTCCCCTAAAACACAGACAAAACAATGATACCCTAAGGAAAGTCAAATATTTTTTAAAAATGAAGCCCATAGGTACTCATTTAAATGTACAGGACAACTTTAGATTTAACCTTTCCTGCAAATCACCAAAGTGCTGTGGAAATATCTTGTCCAAACCAACTGAACATCGAAAAGAATCCTGCTGAGAGAATCCACTTCAACATTTAGCAAAATTAGATTACCTCAATGGTGAACTACGCTGGGGCTTAAGCAAATGGACTCTAGTCTATTTCCAAGAATAATTTTTGGAAAACAACTTGGGAGTCCTTAGAGAGCAAACCAGCTCATTGTGAGCATGTATTTCCTGGGCATGGCAAAGCCAGGAACCTCCTTCACATCTCTTTCTGAATTTTTTCATTAGCTTGAAACCAGACCGGTCACCAAGATGAACAGAAAAACCATGATCATATATGGGTTGTGATTTGAAGGGCCTTGGGATGACTTCACTCGAAAACATCTCTTCTTCTGACACCAGAGTCTCAACACTAGCAAAATCTGTCCCAGTGCCTGTTTGAAAATACCTCTTAAAATATGTCAAGGCCTTTGAAAATATTATTCCTCTAAAACTTTGGTATAAATTAGTTTATCTGGGCAGTTCCCCCTTCCCGACAGTTAAAAAAACAAAACAAAACAAAAAACAGAACACATGCACCCTAGAAACTAGGAAGGGACACTAGGGAGAGGAGAAAATGGAAGGAGATAGCACAGAGAAATTCCCCAAATTTGACTGATTTCCCCAGAGACAGAGCCGTGTCTGCACGGATTTTGTGCAAGGCACGGGGTTAGAGGAGGTGTATAGAGTGACTTTGTGTGGGATTTACGAAGCTTTCTGTGCACTAAAATGCTCATTTCATTGACCGTGAGCTGTACCACAGAGGTACAGGCACTGAGTGCAGCATCCCTCCCAGAGGCTCTCACAGGTCTTAAACAACCCCATCACCACACTCTTCAGGCAGCAGATGCCTTAGCAAGCATGCAGTATGTGCCACTATGTTCTATGCCTGGAGCTCAGCAAGGAGTAAAACAGAAACAACCCCTGTCCTCATGGACACAGAGACCTCACTGTACTCCACAGCCCAGCAGTTGTCTGTTCTCACTCTGTCCACCGCTATGAACTTCCGGCGCCCTCCTAGCTCACTGTAAGACATTCACAAATATGTGTCTATTTAAATAAATGAATGCCCAAGAATGAGGCAGAAACTTTAGGGTTTAGGGGAATCCCTTGCAGGTAGTAGTGAGTGACCCCACCATCAGGGTTGGAAAGAATGGGGATATTTTCTCTTTTCAATATATCACTTCACCATGATTAGCTTCCTTCTGACTTGAGGACTTTCCACAAGATATGTGCTCACCAGTCTACTTCATAAGCTGCTAGAGGACAATCTTCACACAGCCCCTGAAAGCATTACATTTACGGCATCCCAGCTGCTTCTGGATGGTCCAGAGTTACCTCCCTACCTAGGACTGTAAGCTGCCTGGCCACGCAATGTCTTTTCTTGGTCTTCCTGTCCTGAGCAAAGCAGATGTAGTCTCCTTGGTCCTGCAAGGATGCATTATGCAGCTCCATGATCAAAATGTCATTTGTGCTATTAGAGATCATCGTGGCGTTCATTCTCCAAAGAGCATCCAAGTTCTTGCAAACAGGTGTGGGCAGCTCTCCCACGTGGATGGGCAGAGCCTGTGGGCCAAGTTTGTACCATGTGAGGTTCTCAAACATAGTTCTGTCCGCGGAGCACCACAGAGACACGCTCTCCTGCTCGGTGGGCTGGGTGCCGGGTTGCAAAGTGATTTCAGGACCCCCTGAAATGTAAAACCCATGCTTAGAAGACAGTGATTTAACTTGGGCAGCACACTGTTGCTTCCTTGTTGCCTTCAGTCTGCGATAAAGCACCAAGAGAAGCGAAGCTCTGGCATTCCCAGACGATGGAATACAAGGAGACAACCAAACTGGACAATTCCAGATTCAAAATGTATTATTTTGCCAAAATACATTATTTGGAAATGTAAATGAATTCCTCAGATATATATGAAATCTCCACTTTGAGCTCTAAGCACGGTTTTTAAGATTTAAACCCCCCCCCCAATTCAAAGCAGATAATTATAACTTGGGATTTAAAAAGTTAATTCCTCATTAATTTATAACACTCACTGACAGGAAAGCTATGTTTATTACAGTGAATTAGCTCAGACTGAAATATTTTATTCCATCCAGTCAGCTAAAGCTGAGCCATAGAATTAAGATGAACAAAGTCGGTAGTATTGGGAAGGCACTGCTCCAATGTCATTACAATTGCCTCCCAAAAAGCCAACCTTGTCAGCTCTTCAATAGCAAGCGCATAAACGTTGACTGAACCTCGCTAAGCCAAGCACTGTGCTGCACTCTGATGACAAAGACAAAAATATCACGCAGGACTTGGGCTTCAAAAGCACGTGTGAACCCATGCTCCCTCTCCTGTGAAGTCAGATGTACTGACTTCACGTGAGCCCAGGAGCTACCTGAGGAACTCTCCTTTATGAACAAAAGCATCAATTAGCCATCCAACTCCCCTTCCTAAAGCCACGCCACTCATGGGAATGGCCAGGACAACAGAGTAACAGACAGCCCAGCCCCTGGAGAGCACTTACTGGTCACGTGGAGGGAGATAACCCTCTCTCCTCTCCCAGCTTTGTTCACCGCTTCACATTTGTACAAAGCGGATACATTGGCTGCTTGGATAACAAGGGTACTTACAGTCTGTGAAAAAAACAAATCCCAGGCCATAAACAATGGAGGCTGTGTTTATGCACGTGCATTCAGACTAAAATTCAGCATCCCCACCACTGCTACGACCTGTCTACTCCATTCAGACTCCAGCACTGACCACGCACGCTCAAATCTGTGCAATTATAATTATGCTGATGCAGCTCACACATCATACAAAACGAGCTTTGGAAACCATGGAATAAAGAACGTGTTTTAATACAACATTACATACCTTTTCTCATTTTCATGTTTATAAAATCAGAATTACCATACATCCCCTGTACAGAGTTAATGACACGTGTTTTATTTTTCTCTGATACAGTAACAATAAGTCAATGGTGTTTCTAAAAGTTAATGGTGTTTTCAAAGTGACTTAACATGCTAGTATTTTATCATCCAATTTATTTGATGATCAATCGCCAATATTCCTCACACACTGGTATTATTTTACCCTACTTTCACTCCATCCTTCCATAAAAGAGAGACAGATTTTCAAATTAAAGAACTTCAAACTCACTTTGTTTTTTCCTTCAATTAGGGCAAATTGATTTTTGTTGACTTCGATATTGTTTCCCCCCTGGAAGTCCTCCACGTTTCTCCATTCTTTACAGGTATGTGGGTTTGTAGTTAAGGCAGCTTGGCTATAAGAAAGAGGCAACAGATGATATCATGACTTAATTTTTCTTTAATTCATATCAATAGCAAGGAAAGGAGTCAGACTTTGGTTATTACGTTCTTAGAAATAACTTCCAACGCACCCTACCACGTTACAAGACTTGGCGCCAATTAAAAATAGGCCTCAGCAATGAAGGAAAAGGTTCTAGGTAGATTCATTCAGGATACAGGAGGGAAGCAGCTATTCTGGGAACAAACCTCCATTCATAAATTGGATCGACAAGACAATTCAAGTTAATTTAGTTCAAAGGAAGGCAAGGAAACTAAGAAGTCATTGGGCTTCTTAATCTCCCTGGGACTGTGGCCTTTGTGTAGGAAATGGTCAGCATCTGAGGAAGAAACTAATAGAGGCCATCTCAAAAACAACAACAGGAAGTGAACTGCTTAGGGTGGTGGTGGGTGACTTGTTGTTTTTTTTCCTAAGGATGTCTGGACTTGTGTTAGGACCTGATAAGCCGGGCCTGAGGCTCCGAGGTCCTTGCACCCATCAGCACTTCCCTTGAGATGTACCTTCTCACAGATAAGGAGACTGTGGTATTCACCAGTTGATTGGCATAAGGAGAAAAACCAAAGACTGGCAATTAACAAAGTGAGCAAAGAAACTGCATTCAGAGAGATGGACATCAGGGCCAACCTGAAGAGAGAGCTAGCTAATCTCAAAGCGGGATACCCCAAGGAACGACATCTCCTAAAGATGTAAGCACAGAGAAAGACAGAAGGAGATTAAGAGTACCACTTGAGGAATAACCTTCTTAGAGGTAGTCTTCTTGGCTTAGAATGGCGTCATATCGTAGCTTGGCTATGTCCATCGACAGAGGAGTAGATAAAGAAGATGTGGTACATATATACAGCGGAATACTACACTGCCATATAAAGAATGAAATAATGCCATTTGCAGCAACATGGATGGACCTAGAGGTTATCATACTAAGTAAGCCAGACAAAAACAAATACTGTATGATATCACTTACGTGTGGAATCTAAAAATAAAACAAATGAATAAATATTTTTTTAAATGCAAAAGAGCAGGAAAAAAAGGATGTGGCCCTACTCACATGGGCTGGTAGGTACACTCTGTTTCCAGCTGCCAGTACCACTGGATGTGACTCGGGGGAGGAACGGCATAGACCGTGCACGTCAGCGTTTGGGAGGTGCCATACTGGTAAGAGTCCACGGGAGAGATCAGAGATTTCTCACCAATCTGGGGTGGGACTGGAGATGGGAAAGACAGCTTTTGAATTGTCAGTCAGCTTTGAGGAATGGAAAGTAGAAGTTTCCAGCAATTAAAACCTGTGTTTTTCCAAGCATAGAATTTTTGCCCCCATTTGCTTTCTCAAAGAACATCTAGATTTGGAGACAGGACACCTGACTTCTAGTGATACTCATGTTAACAATAATAATAAACTAGTAAGTTGAGTGACTTTGTGCCAGTCTCGCCACCCTGTGCCTCACCTTTTTCTCATCTATATTACAGAGATTGTTCTCCTAATCCTCCCAATTTCCCAAGATCAGACAAGGCTCCAGGAGGAAAATAGTTGTGAATAATACAGTGAGTACATGTATTATGTACTGAGTATTGTTCCAAGTGCTTTACATCAATTAATTCATTTAATCCTCACAGACACTGCTATTGTCCTCCACTTTACACGTGGGAAAAATTAAAAAGTGAAATGACTTGCCCAAGGTCACCCACCATGCCTGCTTCTCCATCTCTCCCTCCTTCTTCCCCTTCCTTCCTTTCTCCCCTCCTCTCTCCCATCCTTTCTTGTTTTCTTCCCTTCCTCCCTCCATTCCTTCCCTGTCTTTTCCTCCTTCTCTCCCTTTTTTCTCTCTTTCTTTTTTAGGCTCCAAAGTCATTAATGTGAAACTATCTTCTCATCACTACCAACCTAAAGCCTCAGATTATACTTTCAAACCTTGACTTCTTTCTTTTTCTTTGTTTTATAGAGCAGGGTAAATGCCAGGGTGAATCAAACGTTTAGTGACTTCCTGAATGAATGAGATAGAGTTATTCACTGTCCATTTTCACATCTTTATTTCTTGTTCCTTTCCTCCTCCCCACCCTACTTTTCAGCTTCCCAGCTTCTCTATACTCCCCAGACTCCTACACCCAAGTGGCTCCTAAGTCACATTTCTGGAACCTGTTATCTTTAAAATACTCCCCGAAGCTGATGTCCCCACAAAGAAACGAAGCCAAGCTCAGAAGACATACAGAGCTTGGCAGGATATACCAGGAAGCACCTTAATGTCACATGAGAAGATCCTGAAGTTTTAATCTGCCATGACAGTAGAAAGCACAAAGAATTACAACAGAGAGGCATTTCCCAACCTGTGTTTGGAGCAAGATATTAATGGATGTATGGGGGAGGGGTGCTCTGGTCAAATAAGTTTGTTAAACCTTGGCTACTCTATGTCTCCCACCCACCACTGGAGAATGGCAATATACTATGTCCATCAACTTAGCATCTCCCACATTTACTTGACCATGATGTCCTTTTCCTCCCCACCCGCAGTACTTATTGTAAATAAGTATCTTTCAGTTTCGAAAAATAAAATTCAAACCATTCTTGAATCAAAAACTTAATATCTCCCCCTTTACAGCCTCAGAGTCAGATCCCAGACTCCTGTTGAAAAAAAAATTAAAACACTTCCAACCAGCCAACAGTGTCCACCTGCAAAAGCCTTCTGCATTGGAATCTGCCTGTGCATCACTGATACATCAACCCCAAATCAAACTAGAAGCTTTCCACCAAATTCAAGAAGAGTCTTAAACATTTGCATGCCAGGAGCACAATTCAAAGGTACTGCAGCTGGAGCCTGATGACTGTCCCTGTGGGTACTCTTATGTCACAGCATTTAGCCATCGGCTGAAACGCCTACTTTAGGCTC